CAGTCAGTACATCGGAGTAATAGACTGTTCTGCAGGATCTGTTTCCCACACGGTTCACTCACATAGATTTTGGCAGGAGGCCTCAGCTCCTGACCACATGGGCCTTGCCTTAGGTTACCTGAATGACAGCTAACTTTCTCCAGAGCTACTGATCTGAGTGAGTGGAGGCCTGAATGCCACTTAGGATCTACTCACATACTCTTGCTACCACCACATCTATTCTTCAGAAATGAGACACTAAGTCCAACATGCCCCCAAAAGGAGAAAAATAAAGCTCCCCTATTGTGAGGGAGGAGTGCTGAAGGACTTATGTAGTTTCCTACAAATCTTACATGTGGCAAAATTCCACTAAAGGTCAAGACTATTTTATTTATGGAATGCTTTCTTGGCCCTCTTCAAGTTTTAGTTTGTCTCCACAGTCATATTCCTTTTCTTTCTGTCTAACAGTACATTTTAAAGGTGTATTACACTTAAACAAAAATGTGATGATACAAATGATTGGTCAATGAGTTAAATGTTAGTTCTAGGCAAAATTCCAGTCACTAACAGAGAAAGCTTTTATAACTGTGAAACAAATTTCAAAGTGCATAAGAACTATAAGGTCAATGTTTAGTGATTTTATAGTTGACTTCGACAATATGGAGTTGCTCAAATATATCTAAATCTGCCTTTCACAGGTTCTTATGGATAAGACAATGAAATTGACTAGTTAGATGGTTTATCTCTTTGCAATTTCATTAAATAATCTTATCTGATAATCAAGCAAGAGGACTTTCTTCTCAGGACAACTCCATTACTCATTGGTGACATCAAATTATTCAATGGCTCAGGGAAAAATGTAGTATAAATTCACAACTTGAATGACACAAAGGATGTTGTTAGTGAATCTACACCAAGACATATCATTCAAAGAAAATGTCAAATTGAATCAAATAGGATAAATTTCTGCAATGGTAACTATAAAATCCTGGGCTTGAGTCAAAGAAATAAGCTTCCTAGGACAGATGGATTAGCAACATTTATGAAAATTAGTGAATATTTATTCAATTTTAAGATCAGTTTGACCGAACACTAGGATGGAAACAACTATAGCTGGCAATGAGACTATGACCTACATTTAGTGAAAGTATAAGCAGGTGGATACTCTAAGTAGTAGAATGAGGCTGTTGTGAGAATCACCCATCTCTGCTGATAGGTCCTTAGTGGAATATTAAATTTGCTTCAAGGTACACCCTTTTAATGAGGTTTAGATGTGCACACATGAGTGTGAAGAATGTAGACAAGTGCCTCTGGCCTATCATAATAATTATACCTGTCAATTCTCTGCTTTTTGTGCATTTTGAAAAGACATCAGAGAGAACTAATTTATTTTATTGATGTTCCATGAAACAGCATAAGGAGGTGAATAAACACATTTTTCTGCAACCACCAGGTTTCAAATCTCTTATCTACAAATGGAAAATTTAATTGATTAATCTTAAAATATCACTTCTTGCAACTCAAAAGACTCAAGCATGTCCAAGGCACAGTTCTTGTTGAATAATACAGGTTTGGACAGTTCATGATGTAATTTCTAAAACCCATGTGTTAATATAAAATATCAAAATCTTTAAAAAAACATTATAGGGGAAAAAGTGAATGTTACCTAAAAGGAACAAGACTTAATGCTAAAAAGCATTTTAATTACAACACTGGGAGCTTCATAAAGGTGAGGAAGTATTTGTCAATGATAAGAGATATGGACTGTAGACCAAGAAAGTATACTTAGAAGAAATCATTTTCTCACCTTTGTTAAAAAAAAAAAAAGACATTTAGGTTGAGCAAGAATTCAAAATATGTAATCCAAAATCCAAATAATATATCCATAATAACACTGAAAATAAATAGCCTTAACTCACTCATTTAAAGACATAGACTAGCAGAATGTATCCAAAAACAAGATCCAACCAAATTCTGTTTGAAAGAGACTCATTTCATAGGTAAAGGCACTTGCAGACTGAAGGCAGAAGGATTGAAAAAAATTTTCTTCATGCAAATGAACTCTGAAAACAAGCTGGAGTAGCCATTCTTCATATCTGACAAAGCAGATTTCAAGCATGTATTATTAATCCAAAGAGAAAAAGAGAGCTATTACATCCTAGTAAAGGAAACAACCCAACAAGAAGACATAATAATAGTTAATATATATGCCCCAAATATCAACATATTACATTAAAAAATACTTCTTAAGGGGCTGTGGCTGTGGCTCAGCAGTAGTGCACTTGCCTGGCATGTGTGAGGTACTGGATTTGATTCTCAACACCTCATATAAATAAATAAAATAAAGGTCTATTAACAACTAAAAAATAATAAAATAATACTTCCTGACATTAAATCCCAGATAGATCCCAATACAGTAATACTGGAAGATTTCAATACATCCTTATCACTAATAGACAGGTCATCAAAACATAAAATAAATAATAATATATCCAAACTGTATGTATTCAAACTCAATTTATCTTTTTCTCAGCAGTTCATGGAACCTTCTCCAAAACAGACCATGTTCCAGGTCAAAATGTACATCTAAGCAAATACACAAAGAAAATTGATATAATCCCATGCATCCTATTAGAACATACTAAAATGAAACTAGAAATCAAAAGCAAGAAAAATAGCAGAAATCACATAAACATGTGGAGTATAAACAGTATCCTTTTAAGAAGGATGGATCAAAGAATAATTGAGGGAAGAAATAAAAAATATTTAGAAACAAATGAAACCCAAGATATATTAAATCTCTGAGATAGTATGGAAGCAGTACTAAGAGTAAAATTTATTTCATTGAGTATCTACATTAAAAATATATAGAGAGACCAAATAAATAAGCTTATGTTACACTTCAAGATCTTAATTACAAAATCAGTAGAAGGTCAGAAATAATAAAGATTAGAGCCATAATTAGAAGAAAACATAAGATCAATATTCCATCATATCAGTGCAGGCACTGACTTTCTAAATGAGACCCCTAAAGCTCACAAAATAAAACTAAGAATCAGTAAGTGGGATGCCATTAAATTAAAAAAAGATCCTGTCCAGCAAAGAAAATGATGAAGAGCGTTGAAGAGAGAGCCTCTGGAATGGGAGAAAATATTTGTCAGTTACTCCTCTGACAATAATATCCAGAATATATAAAGAACTAAAAAAACTCAATGCCAAAAGCAAACAAACAAACAAACTCAAACAAGCAAACAAATAGAAATAGGCCAATCGATAAATGGCCAAAAGAACTAAACAGAAACTTCTTAAAAGAAGAAACTCATCATGCTAAGCGAAATAAGCCAATCCCCCCCAAATAGGGGCTGAATGTGTTCTCTGATAAGTGCATGCTAATCCATAATGGAGTGGTGGATGGGGTGAGTGGAAGAACTTTGGAATGGGCAAAGGTAAGGGGGGGAGGGGATATGGGAGTAGAAAAGATGGTGGAATGAGACACACATTATTACCCTAGATACATATATGAATGGTGTGACTCTACGTCATGTACAATCAGAGAAGTGAAAAATTCTGCTCTGTTTATGTACAATGAATCAAAAAGCTTTCTGTTGTCATGTATAACAACTAATAAAAATGAATAACAAAAAAGAAACACAAATGGTCAACAAATATATGGAAAAATGTTCAGCATCTCTAGCAATTAGGGAAATGCAAATCAAAACTACACTAAGAGATATGGACTATAGACCAAGAAAGTACACTGGAAAGGAATCAATAATTATCAATATCATGAATAATAATAAATGCTGGTAAGGATTTTGAGGAAAAGGTGCACTTCTGCATTATTGATGGGACTGCAAATTAGAACAATCACTCTGGGAAACCATGGGGAGATTCCTCAAAAAAAAAAAAAAAAAAAAAAACTAGGATTTAAACTGCCATATGACCCAGCTATCCCACTCTCAATGTTTTTCCAAAAGGCCTAAAAATCAGCATCCTATTGTGATTCAGCCACTTCAGTGTTTACAGCAGCATAATTCCCAAATTATGGATTCTACGCAGAAGCCCATCAATAGGTTTAGAAATGAATTAGGAAAATGTGGTACATACATACAAAAGAGTTAACTCAGCCATAAGAGTAAAATCATGACATTTGCTGATGAATGGATGGAAATGGAGAAAAATCATGCTAAATGAAATAAGCCAGACTTAGAAACTCAAAGATTGAAAGTTTTCTCTCATATGAGGAAGTTATAGTAAATTTAGGGAAAGAAGGCAGTGGGGGTGGGGATCAGATATCATAAAGATATAGGGAAGATCAGTAGTAGTAGCTATTGGAGAATGAGAGGGAAGAAGGAAGAGAAAGAGGAAGATAAATGGCATGAATTTAACCAAATCATGTCATATTCATATATAAACATCCCAAAGGAAATTTCCCTTTTGCATGTGTAATAGAGTGAAATTTTAGTAGAGAAGAGGAGGGAACATGAGGGAGAAGAAGGGAGGAAAAGGTTGGATGGGGCTTGAAATAAAATTTCTTGCATATTTGATCGTATCAAAATGAACCCAATATTTATGATGTTCTAATATAAAAGATGAGCAAAAATTCAAAGTGTATAATGCAAATTACCATTTTGAAGAGTACAAACTTCTTGAAAATGGTCTGCAATCAAACATAAAGGAAAGTGGAAAAATTAATTGAAGTTGTATATTTATTGTATGTGTGTATACATGAAGGTGATGAGGGGATTCTTTATAACATATCACATAAGATTTCTTGAAACAGAATCATATTGCCTGGAAAAAAATTAATACTATTTAGATATTCAAAGGACTAGGTTTTCTCTAAACAATCTCTTGAAAATGAGTGAATTTCAAGAAAATAAAAATAAACCTGACAATAAAATAAATAACAGCATTTAAATTTGTGTTAAATTATTTAATACATAAGAATAAATCAATAAGATATAATCATATTATACCTCATTGAAAAACATCTTAGCACATTAAAAACATCTCATTTCCCAACTGAAACTAGAATAAAACTATTGTTTATTATAACCTTATCTATTTTGATACTAACAAATTTTTCTAGTTGATTTCTCTGGTGACTGAAAAGATATCATTTGACTTCACTAACAAAGACCTCACAGAGCATAATCATCTGATTTCTGTGACTTATCTTTTCTTGAAAATCTTGTAATTATGTTAATAATAAGACAAAATTCATTACTTAAATGGTTTATTTCTGATATATTGCTCAATAAAATAAAATATTATTTATCCTATTTTTTTATCACAAGTGAAACCTTGTGATTTTCCAGAAATAAAACATGGACGTCTGTACAATGAAGAAAGATATAGACCATACTTTCCTGTACCTATAGGAAAACAATATGCCTATGAATGTGATGAAAATTTTCTGCCTCCTTCAAAATCATACTGGGGTTACATTTATTGCACAAAAGAAGGGTGGCTGCCAGAAGTACCATGCATCAGTAAGTAAATGTCTTTACAATGATACATGTGTCTTTCAATGAGGGAAGAAAGAAGCACATAAGTATTTACAGTTGTCTTGCATGACAAATTAGGGCCAAGGGAAGAATTGTGTGTGCAAAAAGACCCAATTAGTTTTTTTCTTTTATAAGAAGCTCTTCATAAAAATCACATGAAAACCAAGGTTATAAGAAAACCTGTATCATTTACACGTTTTAGCTACAAAATTAAAGATGAATTCAATGTTATTGATTTTTATTTTTTAACAAACATTTGGTATAGTAGTTTTGGGTTTTTCTTAATTGCACATTTTTCAGATGCTATACATTTTCTAAATATTATAAAGGTAATTTTTAAACCAATATTTTGTTCAAATTAATGTTTTCACTTTTTATCACTCTATGCTCCTTAGGACAATGCATTTTCAATTATGTGGAAAATGGATATTACCCACGTGAAACAAGATATTCACTACATGAATCTGTTAAAGTTGACTGTTATCCTGGCCATAGTCTTTCAAATGGTCAAAACACAGCTACATGTACAGAGAATGGCTGGTCCCCTCCTCTCAAATGCATTCGGATTAGTAAGTAAAATGCTCTGATATCTATACTCGTGATTTTTTAAAGGCCCATCTACATTAAACTGGGGCAAAATATTTATAAAAATTTTTTTCCATGTTTCATGTAAGAGTGGAAATCAAAATTTATTGATAAGTATGTGGCAAAATAAGTGCACCTTAATAAACAGTATTCAAGAATATAGTAAAGAATTTGAATACAGGGGCTGGGGCTGTAGCTCAGTAGTGGAGCACCTGCCTTGCGTGTGTGAAGCGCTGGATTTGATCCTAAGCACCTTATAAAGATAAATAAATAAAGGTATTGTGTCCATATACAACTAGAAAATATATTTTAAAAAGAATTTGAATACAATATTTTTGGTTTAATTAAGTCATATGCATATACTATACGTTGAAATTAATCATTTGACTCAAAATTATTATAAAATTGTTATAAATAAAAAGTGAATACAATGAGAGTAAAAGATGTCAGTCAAGAAGTGATGGGGTATTTTTGCAGTATTGCCCTTTGTCTCTGAGTATTTCTGGGACATGTTACAGAAATGGGTCTTCTGGGAAATTGTACATATTTTGCTTTGGATTTTCTATAGAGCTTGTACTAATATACATTCTGGTCAATGCTGAATTCTTGCTCTACATTCTTGATAATGATTAAGTGATGTTTTATTTTAATATTTACTATATAAATGGCAATAAAGTGGTAAAGCACTGAAGTGTTGATATGTGCTTCTTTTATTAATAATTGGATTTAGCATACATTGTTATGGACTAATGGGAAGTTCATTTAATCTGTAAGACGAGGCTTGATTTTTTTTTAGATTATCTTTTTGGAAGCTTTGATGTTGGATTCTTAGTAATTCTAAATATCATTTTTTTTCAATTATGTGTATTACATATGTGTTCTTAATTTATGTGGCTTTTATTTTTTCTTTTATGTTTACTATGAATAATATTGTTCCTTTCACTATAAAATTAACTGTATTTTATTGCTTATGTTTTGGGGTTTTTAATAGTAATACTTCAGAATGTAGACATACTTTTTATTCTAAAAGTTATATCTTGTCTTCATATTATTAATTCATTTGCAGGTTATTTTTATGCATGATAATGACATTATTTCCTTTTAAAAACAATATGGGAAAATTCAATATTTCCCCAGTAATCCAATATTGTACCTTTTCATATATCATAAAAATGGATACTGACTATTTATACTGTGTATTTTATTTTGCAACATTAGCAAATAATATTTTAGTAATCTCTACCTTAATCACTATAGATTCATAATAAGTATCGCTATCTAATCAGGACTTTCACCCCAATCTTCTTTGTATCAGTTTCTTTGGGAGGTGACACTTTGATCTTCTGTAAACTTTTAAATTTAGCTTACCACATACTTTTAATTACCCTGTTTAGATTTTGTTTGCAGTTCTCTTGGGTCTGCAGAATAAGTTACAAATAATTCACAGCTTAATGATATTGACCTTTCCCTTTTAGAAATGAAGTATATTTCTATGTATATATTTCTACATATATATTCTGTATTTCATATCTAGGTCTTTTGAAACACATTTTTGCTAATGAGAGGCTTTGAGCTTTTCAGACTATATTCTTTGTAGGTAACAGGATTATCCATTACTTATTTAAGCTCTAAGAATGTTCTTTTATCTTTGGAAATTTTAAATTTTACAAGGTTTATATTATTATTTTCCTTAAAATTTGTATTGAGCTTTTATTTAATGGTTTTTAACTTTCTCTTCAGAACTATATTTTGCTTAATTCTTATTTTTCTATATTTTTTCTATCTGAAGTGTTTGTTATTTGGGTTAATCTGCTTTGAACATATAACTTTTATTTCTATATCTTTTTACTTTTTATGTTCTATGTAGATAGATTGCTTTGACTTTTTTTCTTTCAATAACTAAATTATATTTAAAAATGTTTTTAAAACTGCATATTTAATTTCTAAGGGCTGATTTTAAAAATTATATTAGTATGTATTTATAAATAGACTAATGAGCTTTGTTGTGACATATTCATAGTTTAATCAGTTTCATTCCCCACTACCTCCTCTGGTCCTTCTTCCTCCCTTGCTGGTCACCTTCTTATTTTTCAATTTCTAAGGGTTCACTTTTTAAAAAGACAAAATTTATTTAGGTATGAAGTATATACAAAGAAATTCACATGCATTTAGTGTGAAGGTGAAAGACTTTGATAAATTATATAAGTATAAACACAATGAAGTTTGAGATAGTTTTAATATTATGAGAAAGTTCTCTGGTTCTTTATCCACTGAGTCTACCCTCAATTCCATCAACATAGGTAATCAATGTTATTTCTGTCACTACAGATTAGTTTGCCTTTTGACAACTTTGTTATCAATAGATTTACACAGCATATTCATTTATATTTGGCTTTATTTTTCTCAGCAAAATGTAATTTTTTTCTGTTGTTTCTTGCATTAACAACTAATGTTTTTCATTACCAAGTCACATATCATTATACAAGTCAATGAGTATTTGGTTTTCTATTCCAATACTAATGAACATTTGGGTTATTTTCATGTTTTGGTAATTTTGATTGCACTCTTTATGAACATTTGAAGAAAATCTTTGTATAGACATATTTTAATCTTTATCTAGGATACATTTCTAAAATTGAAATTACTGAGTCATATGATATGTACATGACTAAATCTGTAAGAATTTGCTACATTGATTTTCAGGATTATTGGAATATTTTATACATTCCTATTGGCCACATATAAGAATTCCAATTGACTTGCATCTTCACTGACAAATAGGATGGCCAGTTTTAAAATTTTAGCCACACTGGCATATATGTAATGGTATGTCATTGTGCCCTCATTATATTTTCCTGGTTGACTCTTTATGGTGAGCACTATTATATTTGCTTAGACATTATATCTGCAGGGACATTGTTATACTTTTTATTGTAAATTTAAATGTTTTTCCCACTTAAATTGTGTAGGTTATCTTATCATTCCATTGTGATAGTTCTTCATATAGTTAGGATGCAATTCCATTATCAGATATATGTCTATACATATTTTCTCATATTTTGTGGTTTATCTTCTGAGGTTCTAAGAGATTGTTTCCAGTAACATATATTCTAACTTTTGATGAAATCCAAATTAATCATTTTTGTGAGTTATTTTTTGATCTTATATAGATCATTTTTCCAATGCTAAATTTACCCCCAAATTTCCATATTTTTCCAGTAATATTTCTATATCTCATATCCATATGTTGATTGACATACTGTTATGTTTTTTATGAAATGGAATTTATTTTTATATGGATGTAATTCTTAAAAAAATAAAAATTTTAGAACTTGTGTTTTTTTTAATTGAATATACATTTATTCACTGGTACCAAAGATACCCATATGTCCCCAAATATCCATTTTCCCCTTCTTATAACAGAATCTGCATACTTTGTCTGGGCACATGAACATCTAGAATAAAGGCTCCTTCCAATTTAGGTATATCTACACAAATAAGTTTTGAACAATACAACATAAGGGAGAATGGTATTTGTGTTTTTTGAGCAATGAGAAACTTACATAATTGTCAAGAAATTGTTAAATGTAGGTTATATGATTTTTTAAAATATTTGTTATTTTTAGCTGTATTTGGACATAATAACTTTATTTTATTTATTTATCTGTGGTGCTGAAGATTAAACCCAGGGTCTTGATTGTGCTAATCGAGTGCTCTACTCCTGAGCCACAACCCCAGCCCAGTTTTTGTGTTTTTTATAGGCTTTTTATTCCTTTATTTTTTAAATAGATGTATGTATTTATTCTTATATCAATATACTCTGTCTTATTTACTGATGTATGAGTCCTCCACCTTTGTTCTTAAGTGTAGTAGACAAACTAATGGCCTCCTTACAACATATCAATTTTAACTCAGTATATACACGACATATTTTTGATATTTGGAATTTTAATTTTAATTTTAAAAACTTAGTGTTGTTTGAAGTTATAAGGTAATAGATTTTTTTGCAGAAGCAATAACATACAAATACATTATTTTTAAAAATAATTCTGCCTTATCTAGCTGTTTTCCATTTTATTTTACTTTTGATATCACCTTGTTGATTTCTATAAAAATTCTGCTGAGATTTGATTGAGACTGAGGGGAATATGTATATAATTGGGAGAATCATATTATAAAAATATTAATTCTTCCATTTAATGAACATGGTATGTCTCTTTGTTTATTTAGGACTTCTTTAATCTGTTCATTAATGCTTTTTAACTTCTAAAATGTGAGTTATGTACATATATTGTTAAATATTTTCTTAGGCAGCAGGAGAATTTAAAAATAATATTACATATTATATTTATTTTTTTCCATTTTTATTAAATCACATAGGATTCTAATGTGTTTCTTGTATATTAGGATCTTATTAAATTTACCATTGGTTTTGCAGTATATATCCCTCTGATTACATTCTTAAAACTTGTCTGTGTAACTAATTATACTATAAATCTATGTATTTAGATAAGCTTCTAAAGGATGTCTCCAGGGGAGTTTTGAACTTTAAGTAGAAAACTATTAATCACTACATATTGCATCTTATGCTTATCTTGGTCAACATTTAACACTGGAATTCCTAACATCTTTGGAGATAACCACAGAACGTATTATTCCTCTAACAAAAGAATTCTGTCCTGACAGTTTATCTTCCTTTTATTGATCAACTTTTCTTAGTTAAAATATCTCATTGTCATTCTTTTTCATGCATTTTTAATAATGTATAGAATTGAAAAAGCAAAAAGAGAAGAACTACTGGTATGTAGGCATTGCTTTCCAGAAACATTAGAGTTTTAATAAATATTTCAGCATAAATTTATCTATAAAATGTGTTACTACCCCTGATTGTCTGCTCTAGGAATACAATATGAATATGTACTTTACTTTGTGTTTTTCATTTGGAATGCCTCCCAAAGGCTCCTGTGATAAATGCTTGATCCTC